CTATAGTCTATACCTGGATCTTAGCAAAGCTTGTGATAAAGTACATCGTACTGAGAGATAGGCGTCAGGCGAGAATAAAATCAGTTGTGTTCAGAACTGGTTGGATGGCTGGACTCATGATTCCATGTCAATGCGGCTGGACCCTGGGACACGTGATCTTCTTATCCATGATAGACTTGGATGAAGGCACAGATGGCGTGCTTGTCAAATCTGCCAATGACACAAAGCTGGGAGGGACAACTAAGGGACTGAAGGACAGTCAGGATCCGAAAAGCTATGACAGGCTGGACCATTGGATTGACTCTAATAAGATGAAATTCAATAGCGATCATTGTAAAGTCTTGTAGTTGGGTACAAAAAATCAACTTCACAAGTAGAAGATTGGTGGGGAGCCAGTTTAGAAAAGGATCTGGGGGTTTTAGTGGACCACAAACTCAGTATGAATCAGTAGTGGGATACAGCAGCCAGAAATGCTTGTGCAGTCTTGGGCTGTATTACGAGGGGTGCATCTTCCAGTTATAGGGAGGTGATAAGTCCCACTGTGCTCTGCCTTTGTCAGATTTCATTCCAAAATCCAAGTTTAATAAAAAAAAGTGATTAACTGGAGCGGGTTCAGAGGAGAGTAACTGGGACGGGGAAGGGCCTTGAATCTGTTGGAGGAGCTGGGGATGTTTAGCCTGGAAAAGAGAAGCCTCAGGGAGAGGAGAGGCCATGAAAACTGTCTTCAAATATTTGAAATATTTGTCCCAGGTGGCAGAGCCAGGAACAATGAGTGAAAATTGCGAAGAGGAATATTTGGGCTTGATGTTAATACAAAATAATAGTTAATATTTATATAGTGCTTACTCTGCTCCAAGCACTGTGTGAAATGCTTTACAAATATTATCTCTTTTGATCCTCACAACATTCCCAAGAGGTGAGTGTTATGATCGTTTCTATTTTACAGTTGAGGAAACTGAGGCAAACTGAGGTTAAGTGACTTGACCAGGGTCACCTAGTAAGCAATTTGAACTCAGGTCTTTCCTGACTCCAGGTCCAGAAAATCTTCCTAACCCTTTGCTCTCTAAAAGTAGAAAGGCTGCTTCGGTGGGTGATGAGGGGGAGGCTGGGTGACCAGTTGGTGGGAGCTTCTTTTGTTTATGGACTGAACTAGATGATCACTGGCGTCCCTCCCAGCTCTCAAATCCTGGGATTCTGGGGCGAGGGGAGCTCGCAGGGATGTGAATGTTTGCTGGGTTTGATCTACCTCGTTGGATGCTTCAAACTGGCTGTCCCCTAGACATTCTTTTAAAAAAAATTTTTTTTTTAATTTGGAAGTGATTGAGATTAAATGACTACTTGCCCAAAGTCGTCACATAGCTAGTAAGTGTCTGAGGCTGGATTTGAACTCAGGTCCTCCTGATTCCAGCCTGTAGACATCTTAAATTCAACACCTCTCAAGAAATATGCAGAGACAAGCAAAACAAATTCCCGAATCGGCCACCGTCCGTGGCTCCCTCTGTGCCCTGAGTCCCCACCTCTCCATCAGAGGCGGGCAGCCTGGTTCCTCACGAGTCCTCTAGAATTGTGCTTAGTCATTGGGTTAATCGTAAATCTCAAATCTTTCAACAGTGATTGTCTCTAAAGTATCGTTGTTATTGTAGAAAATGTTCTCCGGGTTCTTCTCCCTTCCTTCCACGTTGGTTCATATGAGTCTTCCCAGGTTTCTCTGAAACCACCCCCTCTGTCGTGTCTTACAGCGTGATGATATTTGTTCAGCTATTCCCCAACTGGTGAGGAGCGCCCCTGCAGTTTCAAGCTCTTTGCCACCATGTAAAGGAGTTCCTATAAATATGCATAACTTTGATGTCCCTCATTTCCCAGAGTATGAAAGTGAGGTCAAGGGAGATTATATATAGGACTTGGTTACACGGGTTTATGTGTCAGGGATAGGATTTGAACCTAGATCTTCTGAGGAGCATTCTTGAACCCCAAGTTTTTGGTCTCAGCCTCAGAGAGTCCAGGGGCATAACCTCAGTCGGATGAGTGACTAGCACAGGTCTGAAGGGTGGGAGTCATAGCATCATGGATGCCAAGCTAAAAGAAACCCCAGAGGCCATTTAGTTTACCCCCTCCCCCCCATTTTCTAGATGAGGAAACTGAGGCCAAGGGACATAAAATGACTCGCCCAAGGTCACTGAACCCAGCTTTCCAGAGCTGTGAGGAGTTTTTGAGCCCCGGCCTCTGATAGAGAGGGGATCTTTCCTGCTGTCAAGATAAGGGGGCATCCCTGGGCAGTGCCAGCCTTGGGGTTGCCTTCCCTACACCCCCAAGTTCCAGAGTTCTGGGACCAAACCTTTTAGAGAAAGCAGAGCTCTTGGACAGCCCAGAGAGGGCCCTGCGGGGCATGTGATTAGTGTAATAGCAAAGGGCAAGAGGTGCTCTCAGAGCCTGCACTTTGCCCTCTCCTATCATCGCAAGTTTTGGACAGTGCAGCTCCAGTGTAATTCCGTACATATTTCCCTCCTGGTGAGTCCACGCCCAAAGTTGCTCCCTGAGGCCGGAGGTCTAGATACATTTCTGCACTGAAAGGACGACCCGTCTAAATGTCAGGACCAGCAGACAACCCTCAGCTTGCTCCCCTTCTGAGAGGAGTCTAGAACCTGGGTGGTGCTGCGAGTCTGGAGGGCTGCAGGGGTGTCAGGAGGCTAGAATGACCCTCTCTGTGGGACACTACTTGTCTTTTATGTTGTTTTTCTATTTTCGGTAGGGTGGAATAAAGATCATCCCATGCCCCAAATATTCGCGCTATAATCTGAGGCAATTGGGCTGGGTGGCTACAGCTGAATTCTATAATTTTACTAAAGTTCAGGGTCCAAGGCCCCAGGGAGGAGAGATTGGGTGCTCCTTTAGAAAGGTTGGTCACCTGCTGACCTAGGGCAGCTCCCTTCTCTTTCCCTCTCCCTCGGGACACCGGGAGATCCTGGCTCATTAGTAGATTCCCAGTGGGTGAGTGACCTGCCTTTCTACAGGCACCGCAGATGTCAAACCTTGGGGTGGGAAGGTCCGCCTTCCCAGCTGGCTGAGCTTTTGCCCGCCCATAAAGTGTCCCCGAGGGCTCAGGGAGGGGAGAGTCCTGCGGAGTCATCTCCTCAGCTCTGGGAGAGCCAGGGACCCCTCCCCTTCCAGGATGGTCAGCTGAGGTTGCTCCGAGGGCATTGGGCACACACCCCTGGATGCTCCGACAACTAGCATGGCTTATGGGATCTAGGAATGGACCGGAGAGACCACCTGCTGTGTCCACAGCAGAGGAGAAAACTCAGGACCAAGCAGGAGAGTGCCGTGACCGAGGCCACCAGATGCTCAGTAGCAAAGCCAGGGACTGGCTCAGCAGATAGAGTCAGGAAGACCTGAGTTCAAATCTAGCCTCAGACGCTTCCTAGCTTTGTGACTGTGGGCAAATCACTTCACCTCAGTTTCTTCATCTATAAAATGGGAACATAACAGCACCTACCTCCCAAGGCTGTTGTGAGGATCAGACGACATAACATTTGTAAAGCACTTAGCACACATTGCTTGACTCATAGTAGGTACTATGTAAGTGCATCATTATCACGGCTTGAACCCCAATTTCACAGAATCATAGGATTTGAGGCTGGAACAGCTCAGAGTGGTCAAACTCTCCCTATAAACAAGGGAAAAGAGGCCAGCCAAGCCACCGAATGACGACGCCACCCCGCTTGGCTTATGTGTGCAGCATCCTGCAGCCACAGCCCCCCACCTCCCGACCAAGAGGAACAGAGCCACCTCTCTCCTCGCAATGATCCTACTCGGGTTCAGCCACTTCTTCTGCGCTCTTGTCAGTTGCTTATTAGGGCTGTTTTGTTGGCCCTTCTCTTGGTTTTGTTTCTGCCCGGTCTGTCTGACTTCCCTTATGTTTTCCTGAGTTCCTCTGAGTGCTCTCTATTTGTCATCTCGGGCATTCAGGGACTCCAATTTATTCAGCTGGTTCCCAGGCGATGGGCAGCCACCTAATTTCCAGTCTTTTGCTCCCCCAAAGGTCTTGCTCTGAACATTTCGGTGTCCATGGGGAGCCAGGGCAGGGTGGGTGTGGGCCATCTTTCCCTGACCTCTCCACGGAGTGTGCTCCCGATGCTGGGATCACTGGGGCCAAGGGCTGGAATGGTTTCATGTCAGGCCCGCGTGTTCTCTGATGACAGAGGACCCCTCCTAGATGTCAGCCCCTGGATGCACAGTCCCATCAGGCCCAGGCTCTGTTACAGAGTGATTCCAGCTCTGATGCTGGTGTAAAATCAACCATCGGGAGGTGCCAATGAAACTGAGTCAGGACAGGAGGTCCAGAGAGGGGCCTGGCCACGATCACACAGCTCCTTAGGAAGGGGCCGAGGTGAGGACCTAGGTGTCCCGGCTCCTCGGGTCAATCGGTCATCCTTTAGGTCAGCTTGCCTCATTTGGGGGCACTGGCCCTTTCAGCCCTTACCTTTTTGAGGTAGCCGCCTTGGGACCTGTCATCCTGCTTAGCACAAGCTGAGTGACGATGACTGGACATTCCTACAGGCCCCCTATAAACTCAGCTGGTCAGTTACTCAGCGAGGGAAGAATCTCAAACAGGCTGAGGCCTGGGTCACACAGGTGGCCAAATCCAGTCCAAAGACCCAGCAGTAAGATTCACCCTTAGAAAAGCTTCTCCCTTTTCCAGCTGGGCTCCCAGGGCCTTCTCCCTAGAGCAAGCCCCAGTCTCTGAGCCTGGTGGCATCATCAGACCTGCAGCAGGCTCCTTTGTCCTCGCCCACCCCTAGGGGTGAGTGCTCTGGGCCTGGGGCCTCTGGGGCTCAGCTCACATGCCCTCCAGGGTCCACCTCACTTCCCTCCACTCCCAGAGTCCTCTCCAGCATGGGACTCTAGCCGGTCTCCTTTTTGAAATCTGAGCTCCTAGATCCGGGAAACCCCTGGGAGAATTCTTACTGAAAAACATTCCATGCAGTTGTTCAAACATTCCACACAGCTGGCTGCAGGGAGGGGGTGGCCAGGGCTGGAATTTCGGAGGCCTTTGGCTTCTTTCCATTTCCAGAGAAATACATTTCCCAGGAGAGGCCTGGGCGGGGAGGTCCCCGGCTTCAGGGCTCCCCCCGCCTCTGCCCTGTCCCTGAGCTGGCATTGCATGGCTGGCTCAAGATGAGCTTAGCTCTTCATTCCTTCTCCACTCTCCCAGAGATGCCTGCACCCAAAGTCCTTTCTGGTTCTGGGCAGGTGCCCCAGCTCAGACAGCCACTGCCCCCTGCTCTCAGTGAGGGCAGAGTGCCAAGTCACCGGCCGTTTCTGCAGGCGAGCCAGGCTGGAGGCCTCACGACCTGTCCCCTCGTGACTGAGATTGTTGGGTAAGTGGTGAGGAGGGCTGAGGTAGAGAGATTGCCAGGAGCATCCGGGCGCTGGGGTGAGAGCCATGGGCTGGGAGGCAGGGGGCCTGGGCTCCAAACCTAGCACCACCACCAAATTGTGGGTTGACTTTGGGCAAATGACTACTCCTCTCTGAGCCTCAGTTTACTCATCTGTAAAACAAGAGAATTGGGCTAGAGATTCTCTCCATTTTCTCCACGTTCTGCCTCCTCCTTCTAACATTTCTGTTCTCAGGTGCTTGGTAGCCCCAATACTCTCTGGTGTAGAACTTAGACTGAGGTCCCGCCCAGTTCTGGCATCCTATGGTCTAAGGCCCCTGCTGTCTTGGACAGCCTGTGCTCCAGGGCAGCTCCAAGCTCTGGCATTTCACAGGCTCCTTCTGTCTCTGACTTCAAGGCTCGGCATTCTAAACTCCTTCCCAGCACTGACTTTCTACACCCTGTGCTCTAAGGCCTCGTCCAGCTCCAACATGCTCTGATTCTAACATCCAACTGAGACCCGTTTTTTGGTTGTGGTCACATGAGGGAAGGTACAGCGATCCAAATCCGGCCCCAACTGGTCATGAAAGCTCACCAAGTAAAAAGTTTGTCCTGTAGCATTTTGCTTCATCTGCCCGAGGCAGGGGGAGGGCAAGCAGGAATGCAAGGTTTTTTTCGAATCCTTTAGCCTGCGGGCTGTCCCCCAGGCCCAGAAGTCCCCTTTCTCCTCGCATCCCCCACGTTGACCATTCTGGGGGACCCTCAGTCCCCTCTCCCTTTCCAGCCCAGCATATCTCATTCTTGGTTAAGTGTTTCCGGGAGGGGCTAAATGTTGACTGTCAGGGAAGGTGATGACATGCTAAGAGATTTAGTAGTGAGTTTAACCATCAAGAGAAAACAGGAAGGGAGAGATAGGAGCTTGCTGGGAAATTTACTGAGCTGGCCCCGCCGCAGGAAAGACGTCTCCTCCTCCAACTCCTCCTCCTCCCCCACTCGTCCTCCTCTTCCTCCTTCCCCTTTTCCTCTTCCTCCTCCTCCTCCTCCTCCTCCTGTCATCCCACTCAACTAGACCTTTTCCCTGAGTTTGACCATCTTTGAGCAAAGGGGAAGCTGTCAGATCCAATAGGGCGACTGCCCTCCCCCCCACCTCCAGCCCCAGGAATCCAGGCCTCTTCATGATAGAGATTACTAATGTTTCTTCCTGAAGACTCAATCAATTAAGCACCTACTATTGCCAGGCAATAGGGATAAAAGAGAAAAATGAAATCATCCCTGCCCACAAAGAGCTTTATAGCTCGCTCATGGAGATATTCAAGCGGCATCCAGAATAAGCTCCGGCCAGTCTCTTTTGTATAGCATTTTTTAAAAATTCTGTCTTATTTTATTTTCAGTTTCACATTATCCCCCTCTCCCCCATCTTCTCCCCCACTCATCGAGAAGGCAAGGAAAAGACAACCCATTACACATGTAAACAATCACGTGAAACAAATTTCCACATTAACCATGTTTGGGGAAAGAAAGGCAAGAGAAAGAAAGAGAAAAAAATACGATTCAGTCTCCCCTGTGAGGCGTCAGTGCTCTCTCTGGACGGGGATGGCATGTTTCATGGCGGCTTATTGAATCAACCAGAGTAGTATCTGATCATCTTTACGGTAGTGCTGTTACGGTATAAATGGTGCTGCTGGTTCTGCTCACTTTCCTTTGCATCAGCTCATACAAGTCTTCAGGGCCAGTATTCATAGTCCCTTTACAAAGGGCACATAGTGGCACCCTGGGGAGAGCACTGGTTGGTACAGGCCTCTATCTCCTATTGCTGTAGCCTGGTTGGTCTCCCTGATGTGGGTGTCTCCTCCACTCAGCTATGGGGGTGGTCTTCCTAAAGTACAAGTCCAACTGCGTCCCTCCCCCTTCTCAATAAATTCCACTGGCTCCCTATCACCCCAAGGTTCTGATGTAAAATCTCTCCCAAACTTGCCCTGCATCCTACCTTTCCAGCAGCCTTCCTCCCTCTCCCTGCCATGCGCTCTTCCATCCAATGATAAGGACCTCCATCTCCAGCCTCTGGGCATTTGACCCGGCTGTGCCCCCTGCCTGGTGTGCACTTCCTCCTCCTCTTTGCCTCCTGGCTTCCTTCAAGCCCCAGCTAAAATTCACTTTCTACAGGAAGACCTTTCCAATCCTCCCTAACCCTATACCTTTCCTATGTTCTCACCAATGTGAGATTATGTATGTAAATAGCTTGTTTGTATACAGTTGTTTTCATGTTGTTTTCCCCCTTAGATTGGGAGCTCCTTGAGGGCAGGCTCTGTCCTTTACCTTTCTTTATATCCCTAGCACTTAGCACAGTGCCTGGCACACAGCAGGAGCCTAATAAATGATTGTTGACTGCCTGACTCTGGAGTAAGACAGCCTGTGCTGAAATCCCATCTCTGATGTAGGATCTATCTATGTGACCTTGGGCAAGTCACTTCTTCTCTTTGTTCCTCAGTTTCCTTATCTGTAAAAAGAGAGGATTGGACAAGCCAGTCTCTGAGATCCCAGACAGCTCAAAATTTGTGAAACTTATGGACTGGTATCAGGGAATCTGGCTCCAGAGATGGAGGACACCTCAGGCACACAGTAAGCATTTAAGAAATGCTACTTGGTTTTTTTTTTTAATGAATAAGAATTTATTTTCTCTCCCCTCCCCCCTTGGAAAAAGAAAAAGAAAACCCTTGTGACAAATCAGCATAATGAAGCAAAATAAATTCTCACGTTGGCCCTGCCTAAGGATGTCCATCATTCACTCTTCATCTTGAATACATCTCCTCTCTGTCAGAAAGCGAGTAGGATGTTCAAACATTGGTCCTCAGCACCCCTCCTTTTTACAGGTGGGGGTGCTGGGGCCCCAAAGGGGTTTAAGCAACTTAGCATGAAAGGAATTCTGATAAAGTAATGAGCTGAACTAGATGACCCCAAGAGTCCTTCCCAACTCAGAAATTCCACGTGGGGAGTGGAGCAGTTAGAAATAGGTCTGATACCCATACGTACAAAAATATTGATAGTGGCTCTTTTTGTGGTGGCAAAGAATTGGAAATTGAGGGGATACCCATCCACTGGGGAATGACTGAACAAGTTATGGTCTATAATTGTGATGGGGTATTGTGTTTTAAGAAATGATGACCAGGCTGCTCTCAGAAAAGCCTGGAAAGAGTTACATGAATGGACGTAAAGTGAGGTGAGCAGAACCAGTTCATTGCACACTGTAACAGCATACATAATAACAATAATAACAACAGATCATTGTACCTAATAGTAACAGCACAGAATATAATAATAATGTAATGATGAGCGAATGTGAAAGGCTTGGCTACTCTGATCAGGACAATGATACAAGACAATCCAATGAACTCATGATGAAAAAGTTCGGAGAGAATGGATGAATTCTGAGTACAAACTGAAATATAATTTTCTCACTCTCTTTATTTTTCTTCCTTTTTTGGTGACACGGCTAATGTAGAAATATGTTTTGTGTGACTTCACATGTATAATTGATATCATATTGCTTACCTTCTCATTGGTGGGAGACAGATGAGAGGGAGAGAGACAATTTGGAACTCAAAATTTAAAAAAATTTTTACAATTAATAATTTTTTTAAACGGGAAAAAGGAGGTCCAATGGGGGGGGAAGTCAGTGAAGGGTGGCTATCTATCACAAAGGCAGGTCTCTTAAGTTACTTCTGAGTGGATGGTTCCTCAGATTTGCTGTCACCCTGGAAGGCGTGTTAAGACCTAAACCTTTGGAGAGAGAAGTTTGAACTGGTAGAGACAGGTGAGAAACCACCTCTGAGGTGAGGTGGGGTCAGCATCAAGGCTTTGGTCTTTGTTTAAGTGCTCTAGCCTCTTCTCAGAAGGGCCTCTTATACCTAAAACCTACCTATTCTCCGAATCCAAATCCTCCATGAAGCCTTCCTAGATTGCTCCAAGCCATAGTGGTGTCTCCATGCTGGGAGGGACCTTAGCAACTGTCTAGTTCAATGCCTCTATTTTGCAGATGGAGAAGCTGAGGTTATAAAATGGGAACTGACTCACTCAAGGTCATCTAGGCCAGTAGTGGTAGCAGAGCCACGACCCAAGCCCAATAGTGACTCCACATCCACCAGCTGCTGCAGCTTTCTGTCTCCTGCTCACACTCCTTCTTGGCTCTCACCCATCAAAGAGGCTGGCCAAGAACCTGAGTTCATCAGTGTGTGAACCCCAAATCTGCAACATATCTTTTCTTTTTGGTGAGGCAATTAGGGTTAAACGACTTGCTAAGGGTCATGTAACTAGTGTCAAGTGTCTGAGGCCGGATTTGAACTCAGGTCTTCCTGACTCCAGGGCGGGTGCTCTATTCACTGCACCACCTAGCTACCCCATCTGCAACATATCTTCAACTTGGGTTAGTAAAAGGCTTCATGAGGCTCATTGGGTCACCCAGTTAGTAAGCATCAAAGGCAAAACTCAAACCCACATCTTCCTGACTCCAAGTCCAGCCCTAGAGGTCAGTATTTCCCGATGTCTCTCACTTAATCCGCTACTGTAAACCTAAATATTATAAAATTTTGTCTCCTTGACTAGATTGCAAGCCCTCTGAGGGAGAGGGTCTTATTTCTTTAGCATCCTGTATGGCAGAGCCCAACCCAGTGACCCAACATATAATCAGTGCTCATTACCATCTGGATCCAGCTGGCCTTTCCAGGCTGGAGTTCATTTCTCATCTTGCCCTCCTCCCCATGTACACCAACACGTTCCATGTTTTCGCCAAACTATCTCTTCCTCTCCAAACCACCCATCTCTCACCTTCATGCCTGGCCCTCATACCTGCTACGCTCTTCCTCCTCACTCACACATTTAAAAACCCCTGGATCCCTCAAGGCTCAGCTCAATGCCACTTCCTTTAAGAGGCTCATCCTGATTCCTCTAGTTGCTAGTGTATAGCTACATATTGATTTTATATAGATCCTGCTAACAGATTACATCTC